CAGCCTGAACTGCTTAGTGAGACCCTGTGTCCAAACAAACACCCCCAAAACAAAACAAAATGTAGCATAGGACTGAGCTGGAGTGTGGGGTTCTGCATGTTTGGAGCCTGGGGCACCCTGGAACATCTCTAGAAATTTCTCCTAGAAATAGTTGAAAACTCCTGGGCAAGGTAGTTCCTAAACTCCCTTTCATTATGTTGCGCCAGCTGGCCTCGAACTCGTGATAGTCCTGCCTCAGGCTTCTTTGTGTTGGGATTGCAGAATAGCTCAGACTCTCAGTCAACTCAGGCAGAAGCTGCCCCTGCTCCTAGTTTCTCTTCTAACAGTGTATTTCTGGTTGGGAGGGAAGATGCTGAGGGAAGCTGCGTGGACAGGAAAGCCGGGGATTGGGGCTGCTCTGGGGCCAACTCCGAGGCCGCTCCTGAGTTCGAGGGTGGAATCAGCCCGGCTGAGACGCCACGTTTCACGGTGGCTAACTGGGTGCAGGGTGGGGCTGTGGACATCCTCCTTGGCGCCCCCTAGGGGCCGACAGCGCATCAGAGTGACCCCAAGCGGAGAGAATAAGAAATGAAACATGGGACAGTACCTAAGAGATACCGGACAGCAAAAAATATGGAGCATGACTGCCTCCTCTTCCCTTCTTTGTGCATGTGGCAGATGTTGGTCTGTCACACGACCTTCACCCCCAAAGTCTGGAGCGGCATCGGGATCCTCAGTACAGTTCCTCTGCCAACGACTCCCAGTGAATTGGCCCTACGAGGCTGCAGGAAAGGCCTTTGCTATGTGCGTTATTCGAGGATTAGAGAGGGAAAACACCTCACTCCAGGTCCTCCAGCCAGCTGGTGTCTGAACCAACCTCACAGGTGTCCCATGAGTCTGCTTTGTTTTTGTCGTCTGGGAAGCCTGGGTTCCAACGCCATGCCCGGCACACAGTGGCCTGGATGGATTCCTAGGTAAGAGGGGCTAACACCAAGCTTCTGAGCAGACCCAGCTCTGGAGAGAGCCACTGTCTCTGTGCCTATTTTCCCTACAACATCGAGGTCTGTGGCTTGACTGGTAAGGACACAGCAAGGGCGCAGAGGAAGCCATCCCCTGGGCAAAGGTGGAGGCTGTGTCTCTAAATGATTCCATCAAGTCACTACTTGCTGGCCCTGGCGCCATGCAGCTCAGCTGGCCCTGGCTTCACAGGTGAGGGTGTGAGGGAGGCAAGGACCTATATTCAGTGTTGGAAGAGTAAGGATCTTCGTTAATGCTGGGCTGGCAAGGAGCCCAGCGCGGCCCTTCCTTTCTCTCCCGCTGTCAGGGCGGAGGCCAGCGACCAGCAAAGAAGCAGCCACTTACTGGCCACGTTTGCTGGGTCTTTGGGCCTAATGACACTGCTGTGTGGGCTGGGACAGGCTGCTGACCTCAAAGAGGAGAGGGCCAGCTGCAGCCTACTTATTATCCACAGGACTGCTGCCCACTAGCCCACGGTGTGTGGACAGTATTCCAACCAGCTGGGGTGGGGGGCAACATGTGGATGGTTCCAAGCACCTGGAGCTTGCTGGGTGACTCCCAGGAATCCTTATCCCTACCTGAGCTTCAGGTTCTCTGTCTCGGAAGCACAGGGGTATCGGGCGGTCTATGGGGCAGTCTATGCACGTTATAGGGCTGCGTCTACGTCATGACTGTGATTCTGTTTGTGCGTGTGTTTGTACACCCGATGGTGTCTGTGTAAGGTGCGTGCATCCAGACTCGGTGTCTGTTGGCTTTGGCCTGTGGGAAACAAGGGTTAAAGTTTTCATCGCATGAAGATGTGCAGGGAGGATGTGTCTGAGTGTCCTGGGACAGGGCGCGACGGCGCATCTGCTCATGTGCGGACGTGTTTATTTTTAGCTGTGCCAGTAGCTGCCCATGGGTGACACTGATGCATATCCCTTGCGTCCCTGGATCTGTGGCTGCCCCCACGTGTCCCCGCATCCTCAGACCCACCCAAGGGACCGCAAATGCTCTCCTTCCCTCCCTCATCTTCCCTATTTATAACTTGGTTTTGGAAGAAAGCTCCGACATGGAGAGCGAGCCACAGCTCTGCTGCAGGCTGTTTGTACAAGTTTGTACAGGTAAGGGCAGATCGTAGCCTGGTGAACAGGCGACCCCAGGGCTGGGGCCCTCGTGGCTTATTTTCTTTTTGCCACAGACAGGAGAAAAAAGTTGTTGACAAGAGGTGGACACCATTCCTCCCAACAAAAGCAGCCTCTTCAGGGTCACAGTCCCACGAGGCTGGAAAGGTGCCATCTGGAGAGCACCAGCTTCGATCTTCCATTCAACAGAGGAGGAAACTGAGCTCAGAGAAGGGCCAGGTCTTTCCCAAGGTCACACACCCTGAGTAAAACCCCACTTCTTTCATATCTATAGACAAAGACCTTGCTATGGGACACTAGGGTGAAATATAAAAGGAATTCCCCAAATCAAAATGAATGTAAAAGAGGCATGGTGGTGTTAGTGAGTTCAGGACCAGCCTAAAGTGCACAGTGAAACTGCCTCAAAAAAAAAAAAAAAACACTCAATAATGGGCAGTTTGGGCCAAAAAGATAACTCAGTGGCTTAAATGCCTGCATGGCAAGCACAAGGTCCTGAGTTCAATCCCTGGTACAAAAAAAAAAAAAAAAAACAAAAAAAAAAAACACCATAAAATAGTAATAGTAGTAATAATAATAATAGTAATAATAGGCAGCTTGGGGGCCAGAGAGATAGTTCGGCAGTCTAAGCATCTGCCTGTCAAGCTCAAGGACTGGGGTTTGATCCCCAGCACTGTATGCCGTGCCAGCCACCAAAACCAGGCATGGTGGTGCACTCCTGTAATCCCAGCACTGGGGAGGCTGAGACAGGAGGATCACTATGAGTCTGAGCTGTGTAGCAGATGCTGAACCAAATAAATTAATAATAATAATAATAATAATAATAATAATAATAGGCAGTTTTATCCACACACACAATGATACAGCTACTGGGGGGGGTAAGAAAAAAAATATTTCAGCAGTTCTTTGGATGCTGTAAATCAATTAGTTCTAAATCCCATCACTTCAGAAAGAAGCACTAGGCTTCTAAAGTGGCCTGCATCACCTCGTCCCAGACCTGCCAGGCCCTGACTTGAGCAGCGGCCGAAGTGTCTGCTCTTTCACAGACCTGGAAACTCGAGCTCAGAAAGCAGAGAATTACTTCAAGGTCAGAGGAGCGTTTCTAGCAGTCAGAACAAAAGCTGATGCCTTCCAACTCCCCTCCAGGGGAGCTAATCACAGCCCTGGGCTTCCTGGGGGCTCGGGATCAGGGACAGAGAGACCTCAAATGTGCTGTGTGGTCGCGCTAGTGGGCCGGTTGGGACACTCAGACTGCGCTGTTCTCTGTGTCCCTCCCCATCAGCGGGCAGGGACCCTGAAAAAGACGTTACCGTGGCAACGCGCATTCCTGGCAGGGTGAGTCACGGCTGGGAAGAGCCCCCGGTGGGCGGGACTTGGAGAAAGTTTTCGAAGCTGATCCCTTCTCGAGGCCTCCTTCGCCCCTCCCCCCAGGCGCGCGGGGCTTTGTCGATGTGGCAGCTGACGGCCCCGCTAGACTCTCCCAACCACTCCCAGCCTGACATTTTTCATCCTGAAAATACGGGCTTGTGTCCCTTCCCCACCCAGATCCCCACGGCACGCCCTCCGGGCTTTTGTGGGAGAGGCATCCCTCTGAAAATAGCTCAGGCCTGAGAGCCCTGCACTCTTCTCCCGTCCTCTCTCTCTTCACTGTGCACACAGTTAGAAGGAACCCGTGGACACCACGAAGCCCACGAAGCCGCGTGAGCCGAGTTAAGAGACCTCCCTTGACACGGTGCGAGGGGACCCCCAAAGGCCCCAAAGGCCAATCCTCTTACTTTACAGCTAGGGAAACCAAAGCCAGGGGAGTTGCTCAGCTAAGATCAGCCTAAGACAGCCTGCGCGCCTGCTTGGGGCTGGCTTCCCTCGGTGGCCGTGAGTGCTTAGGGGTGCAGGAAGGGAAGTCACCCTGGAGGACTACTGCTCAAAGTGCTGTCTCAAATGCAAAACGGGTCCTTACTGAAGAACACATATACCTCTCTTTCCCTTTTCCCCATGTTGGGGAGACACCCCTGCACCCCCTTCCCCTAAGCGTCCTCAGGACCCAGAAGTACAGTCACCAACTCAGAGGGTGAGAAGGGCTGGAAAAGTGGAGAGAACGAACCCCAACCTAACCTCCCACGCCTGGACCTAGTCCTGCGCGGGCTGCACTTCTCAAAACGAAGTGGAAGGTTGCCAACGGTGCCCCGACATGGGCTCTGTCTTACCTCCCCCACTGCCCTTCCAACACATCCCATGCCCACCCTATGCTCAGTCAGACTGAGGCAGGGGGAGGGCTACCCATAGGGTGCCAGGGCACCACCATGCCACTTCTGGCTGCCCGGCGCCAGGGTGGAGAAGCAGGAAGGCATGAGGGGACACTGCACCTTTGCCTTGCAGAGATTATCATGTATGCAAAGTCTCTTCTTAGAAAGCAGCGCCCTGGACTCGGAACCAAGTCTAGAAGAACTTTCTCCCAGACTAGGGCACTGGATGCCTCGGGCCACCACCCAGGGACCATTCCCTGCTGCAAGTGTGACAGGGCTGGCTTCCTGGGAAAGCGGAGACTGCACATTCCCATTCCGAAGGCGGAAGAGGGGAGGAAGGGAGGAGGGGAGGAGGGGGGAGAGAGAGAGAGAGAGAGAGAGAGAGAGAGAGAGAGAGAGAGAGAGAGAGAGATTCCAAGACATAGTGAGATTATTTCCCGAAGACCTGAAAGAGGGATCCACTGTGCGTCCTTCCACCTCCTGAAAAGCAACAGGTGACCAGTGGACTACGACCTTAATTTAAGTGAGGGCACCTAGGTGGACAGAGACAGCATCCCCAGCAGGGCTCCCCTGCCTTTCTGGGGACGCAAGCCGCTGTTTGGAGAGGACCGGCCCAGCGGCCCGCAGACCGTGTACCTACCTCAGAGGCAGGCGGCGGCAGAGCAGTCGGGGCAGTCCAGGCAGTCTGGCGGGGCGCAGGAATGTGGAGGGGTTTAGAGACAGGCAGCAGGAAGCTGCGCAGAGCTCTGGGCTGGGTCTGTCTCCCCTCCAGCCACAGTCCCTCCTCTGCCTCCTCCCCTGTCTCCTCCTTCCCCTGGCCTGCCTCCCCCTCTCCCCAGAGCCAAAGCTATCTTGGTCTCATCTTGGTCTCTTCTTTTTTCTTCTTCTCCCTGCAGTGGGCTGACCTGACCAGACACCCCAAGGCCACCTGCCTGGCCTGCTGCCTAAACAGACACACCCAGCTCCAGGGCTGGAAGGAGCACAGCCTCTCCTCATTCGTGGGGGACAACCAGGCACAGACTCCCCCGGGGGCCCCCAGAATCCTTGGCAAAGTCCTCTCCCATACTGGGCAATGCTGAACAGGCTGCAGCCATGGAGCCTGTGTGTGTGTGACAGACACAAGGCTGAGACTTTGCACAGACAAAACCAGCCGCCACTAGTGATATCATCCTTGGTGACATGGGAGATGGTCCAAAAGGTCCAGTCGAACTCTAGGTAGGCACAGAAGGAATTAAACTTCCAGATAAGGTGTCTGATAATCCTAGCAGCAACATCACTCAAAGTTTATCAGGGACTCTAGACTTACTAGCAAAATGTAGGTTTCATTATTAAGCCAGTTTGGGCATGGAGGGCCAGTCTCTTGCCTAAGATGACTAAAGAAGCCAATTCTACATTTGAATTAGGTTAAGTCCTGGTTTTGTTTTTGTTTGGTACTGGGAATCAAACTCAGGACCTTGTGCTTGCCAAGCAAGCACTGTGTCACTGAGCTACATCACAAACCCTTGTTTTGTTTGTGAGACAAGCTCTCACTCTATAATCCAGACCAGTCTTGAATTTACTGTGTAGCCCAAACTGGTCTCAAACTCGAGGTTCTCCTTCCTCAGCCACCAAAGTGCTGGGATTGCAAGTGTCTGCTGTCTCGCCCAGCCTGGGACATGAACTCCTCAGTGCAACAAGTCTTGGTCTCCTATTACTGCATGCCTACCCCTTTGGGAGGCACAAGGATTAATCCCTGGTTCAAATTGGGGGAAGGTATCTTAGAAGAGGTAGACCTTGGGGCTGGGAAGATGGCTCAGTGGAATAAGTACTTGCCTGGCAAGCGCAAGGTCCTGAGTTCAATCCCCGGTACCACCAAAAAAAAATAAATAAATAAATAATAAAAAGGTCAGTTTATTATCTATGAGTTTATTTAAAATAACTGGGAAAGCTGAATCAAGATTCAGTGTAGCTGATGTCCAAAGAATTATTTATAACACAAAAACAGAGAGAAATGCCTAAATATCTTAAAACAGAATAGCTAAATAAATTATGGAGCTGTATCATAAAACAATATAAAATCCAAAACATTTTCAAATACTATTATAAGGACATGAGAAAACAGCCAAGATACAATGCTAAGGGGAAAAAGAACTAGAATACTAAACAAGACTATTTACATGTTTTTATTCTACATTTGTGAAAAACCAAAAAGATAACAGAATCAAATCCCTTCCATCTTAAAATGATTATCTCAAGTTGGTAGGATTATGCATTTAATTTTCTTCACTAATCCTAGATATAGATAAACTATGTACAATTATTAAATAGAAGTTTGTTTTTAAAATGCTGTGTTTATAAATTAGGATAGAGAAGACTTAGGAATATTCCTGAGATAAATCTTTAAAATATCAAAAATTTAATGTACTGGTGAGCTTGTATTTCTTTTTTTCTTCCTTTTTTCCTAACATATATCATAACTGAGAGGCTCGGCGAGTGTGGGGGAGAGCTTCCTCCAGCTTCCCTGCACCCACGGGACCTCTCCGGACCTAAACCCAGGCAGGCCATGTGAGTGAGATCCACTGCCGCACTGTTAGGACCCCTCCACCCCTCCGGAGCCCCCGCCCCCAAACTCACCCAGTGAGTGAGAACTTCTGCAATGCTCTTGGGACCCCCAGATCCAGCCCAAGCCCAGACCCAGCTAGTATGTGGGACAGTTTCTGCACTACTTTTTGCCCCCTAGGGCAGGGGAACAACAGAGGGGCACCACAGGTTCACTACTGTGCCAGAGGGGCACAACAGGTTCACTGTCAAGGGCTGCAGCAGGAAGGAGCTGACCACAGCTAGACCCAGGCCAGGCATAACTGGATAAACTCGAAATTAATAGACCTGCACCTGAATTTCAGTAAGTGCTAAGATTATAACTGCACCAAAGGTCAGAAGTCAGTGCTGTACAAAATGACAAAAACAAGGAACAAAATGCAATCTCAGGCATTGAGCCCACCCAAAACAAGTGCTGAGGACACTAGCTCAGCTGAAATGAATAAATTCACAGCATCGGAAGTAAAGAAAACAATTCCTGAAATAAAAAAAGAAATCTCTGAATTCATAGCATCTGAAGTAAAAAATCAAATACAGAAACATATGGGGGAAGCCCAATGCCATTCGAGAACAAGTGCAGAGGACACTAGCTCAGCTGCAATGAATGAATTAACAGCATCAGAAGTAAAGAAACAACAACAGAAAGGTTTGGAGGAACTCAGAGAAGAATTAATTTCTGATATAAAAAAAGAAATCTCTGAAGTCATACAATCTGAAGAAAAGAATTGAATACAGAAACATAGGGAGGAAACCCAATCTGAAAAAAAAAAAAAAAAAAAAAAAAGAAAAAGAAAAGAAAAGAAATGAAATGA